AGTACTCCTCTTTGAATCTTCATTATTTATGTAGGCATCCAGCTATCGATTCACTTATTCTATAAGATAGTATCAAGTATCTACCCTTGGTCAATCTCTATGCCAGACTCTAGGAGTACCCGATAATTGAAACACATGTGAAGCTCCTTCCCCTCAAATATCACCTCCTCTATGAAGTCTTCCATGGCCACTCTAAGAAAAGTTATAATCTCTCCTGTCCTCTCACAGCATCTATATGCGTAACTCATCTGGTATATATAGCATTCTACCATAAAAGGGGATTTCTCTAAGTAATATCTTCTATCTTTATTGAGGAGAATATTTCTTAAGCATATCCTTCAAATCCAAAATTCAAATTTTTGTCATTTTATTTTGACAAGGTAAAGATTTCACTAATTAAACAAAGATAAACAGCCAAGGAAGACCTTATTGAAGCCTGCAGCAACAGAGCAGAGAATGTGAACTCAATTCCCATGAAACAAAATGCAAGAAGACTCTTAAGGTCTGGTGTGACCAAGGAGAAAAGCACTAAGGGATGACATGGGTGAGGAGGTTGATCACTGAGCTACCTTGAGCATAGCAAGTTATTCCAGAGTTTGCCAATGCTTTCCTCTGTGATTAAGCCATCTGTATTTGATAACTGGCACTCATTGAAGTTAGGCTTTTAGCCTCTCACAGAGACTGAGAGACAGGAGTGTTATGTCCTTTGAAATGTATATTTCAAAGGGATGATTCTCAGGTCCTTGAGAAAGATATTTCTGGTACTACTGAGGAGAAGCTGGAAGATTTACATATATTTCAAAGGAACAGAGAAAGAATTTACAATGGCAAGTTTTCTAAAGTAAATTCAATAAGAAAAGTGAGGTCAGGGGCCTTTTGTCAGGAAGAAATCCGTCTGAAGTTTAGTCAAAGCTGAGGGGAACATGAAAGCTATCTTGATCACATACCTTTGGTTGACCATTACATCATCCTTTGAAGCAGCAAGAAAATCAGCACTGCCATTTCAACACAACTACTATATTTTGTGTCCAAAGTATAATCATATCAATGATTACATTTTTATAAAAGTTTTAAAGACAAAAAAGTAAAAAAAAACTTTTATAAAAATAAATAAGAACAATTGAGAAAGAAGAAAAAAATAACATACACTGATTGAGTGTCCCTTTACTTAGTTTAGGTTAAGCAACACCTATTGACAAACCATAAATATGCGAGACAGAATTCTAATTTCCTTATCTAAAATTTCTCTCTATATTTTCCCATTGCCTATATCTTCTCCAAAGAAAGATATGTTACTTGACATGTTTATTCTCCTACTGGACTATATGTCAAGAGTTCTTGAAGTTTGATCCAACTTACTAAAACATTAAATGATCATGATTTTGCTTCAAAATTCAATAGTTAAGAACATTTTTAGGCAATGGCCAGCAAATTTTCTGTGCATTATAACCAAGTCTGAAGGCATGTTAAATACATATGGCTGGGCTCCACCTCCAGGGTTTCTGATTTAGTATATCTAAGGCCTAAGAATTAGTATGTCTAGCATATTCTCAGGTAATGCTAAAACAGATGCTTCACAGATCACGTTTTGCACCTGAAAACTTTACTGATTCTTTTCTGTATGGGGACAAGCAAGTAAATTTTTTTTTATTCTTATTTATTTATGATAGTCATAGAGAGAGAGAGAATGGCAGAGACACAGGCAGAGGGAGAAGCAGGCTCCATGCACCGGGAGCCCGACGTGGGATTCGATCCCGGGTCTCCAGGATCGCGCCCCCTGGGCCAAAGGCAGGTGCCAAACCGCTGCGCCACCCAGGGATCCCAACAAGTAAATTTTGTAAAGGGCAAATATTTGAGGCTTTGTTGTCAAGAAGCAAAATCAAGGATATTTTGTAGGAACTTAATAGAGAGAAAACAATTTTCCATATATTTTAACTGACAAAAATTCTATAGATAGTAAGAACGATTGCATATAAATTTTATTGGGTGGAGGATATAGATCTAATAAGAAGAGTGGGATAACATTTTCTTAATTGATGTTTGAAGTTAGCAGTTCCTATCATAAAATCAATTAATAATGTCATCTATACTTACATCAAGTACTTACTAGCCTATTCTCATAGGCCATACAAGAAGAAGGTATTGGTTTGGCCCATGAACTATAGTTTGCTAACCTTGGCAGTACCGTAACATTAAAAAACAAATCACAGAGTGATAAGTAGATAATTAAACATCAGGAGGTATTTTGATAATAAAACTCTCCAAAGTACAGGTTAGAGAAGTGAGATCCAAAGTGATGAAAAAGACTTGCCTAAGGATTCTTTATAACAAATTTGTAACCTATAAAATTAAAACTAAAAGGTAAGACTTCATCTTCAACTGTAAAGAACTTGAATCAGTTACATATTGTTACTGGTAAAAAAAAATCAGAATCAGCCCATAGGAGGAAAATCAATACATCCCTGGGAAACACTCATTTAACAGTTATTAATTGAACATATACCAGAGGTTTTTCAAGGGGTTGGTGGTATATCAGGGCACATACTAAGAAGTCTAGGTCATGAACCACTGTAAAAATTGAAATAAAAAATTACTTAAGCACTTGTATTTATGTATAGTACTTAAACAGTGCATGTTTGGTAACACAGCCAATTTGGAGACATATCCCCTAGTTGAAGAAGTCTTACTAAGAAATATTTCTTTGAGGTAATACAGTCAGTATTCACAGAATCAGTTTCACTTACAGTTAGAAATGTAGTACAGATAATATTCAGAGAAGTCATTAATGGACATGATATCCCTGAAGTATCCGAAAGAGAATACTAAATTAGTATTCCTCTTAGTAGAAATGAATAAACTGGCAATAAAACAATAATAAATAAAAGAAACAGGCAAATTGATCTTTATCTAACTGTACACTCTTGCTGTGGATGAATATATGCTGCTAAATATTACAGCCAAAATTTTCTCCAACTACAGTGTCTAGCAAGATTAGAATATAGATAACTGTTACTGAGTGTAGTAATGGAATTAATGTAATGATCCTTTGACTCCTAGAATATTATAATTCAAGATACAAAGTAATTACATCCACAGTTTGGAAGTATAAATATTTCTATAAACATGTCTATATTACCTCATGGAATTCTGACCTTATAGAATACAATGCTTGCTTATTTGTTTATTTATTTCTTTATTTATTTTAAAGATTTTGGTTTTTTATTTGAGATAGAGTGAGAGAGATTACAAGCAGGGGAGAAGGGCAGAGGGAGAAATAGACATCCCACTGAGCGGGGAGCTGGATGTGGGACTCAATCTCATGACCCTGGGGATCACGACCTGAGACAGGTGCTTACCTGAGTGACTCACCCAAGTGCCCAAGGATGCTTTGAAAAAGAAAAGGCAATCTTCACAGTAGACAATTTCTTAGTAGAAAATAATTAAAAGACATTCCTTCTCATATCATGTGTTGTTAAAATGAAGGAACCGATAATTCTTACCTCCTGGGGCTTGCTAAGTATGAGAAAAGTTTAATTCTTGTTAGTGGTATCTTCAAAAAACTTGGAGTCAGAGAAAGTACTGCACTTTCACAAAGACAATGCTATTTCTCTAGACATATCAGTCTAGAAACATTGTGTCTTGATGAAATTAAGTCATACTGTGTATTGATATATATCAATAGATGTATACAATATAACTTAAATAATTCAGGTAGAGAAGCCTAAACAGTTTTAAGCACTTGGGTGTATGTAACAATAACAAACTTCTGTTAAACTAAATGCCACCTTCTCATCCCTGGCCCCCAGAGCAACACAATTTTTGGAAATACAAAGGCCACCCTCTCCTCAGTGAAGATCTCTAGGATAAATAATATAGGCTTCAGGGAGGCCACACATGTGTCTTCATCCCTAGGCTCACTGTGACATTTCCTGAGTTATTTATGTATGTATCCCCCGCACAGTCATAGGAGCTGCTTTTGAAAACGTAAATTCTCTCACATCTAGAATTTTCTCACAACTCCTCTTAGACAAAACCGATCCTGCTAGATTTTTGTGGTAGACCTTGGAGAGAGGTGTTCTGTGTAGTTGGTCAGGTTCACTCATCAGCTTACTGAGCTTCCCTCCCTAAGACTCTACATGGCTTGTGGCATTCCAGTTCCTCCCCCAGCAAAATTAAAGATTCTCTCAATAAGACACCCTTTGGGAGTAGGCAGTTTAGCTGTCCAAACACAGTCCTAAATTACTGGAATAAGAACAACTGTTACTGTCCAAACACAGTCCTAAATTGCTGGAATAAGAACAACTGTTACTGCGCTTATTTGTGGAATTTCATTTAAATAAATGATTACGTGGGTAAACAGAGCTTGCTCTCTTTCTCTCACCTTATTATTTATACCTTTGCTGTGCCATGGATAGTATTTAACTGCCCAACTGAGAACTGTTAAACTCTGTCATCAGATTGTCATCTCATAGGAACTGGTTAAATGCACACACAAAAAAAATCAGTAGGTGAGCCAAGATTGGAAGGCTTCACATGTGAAAGAGAGAAAACATGCATTTTCATTTAGGAAAGAGTTAAAATTATGTTCAGAGAGATTTTGATGTGGAAAAAAGCAAGTATGAAGATAACCATGATTCTCATAGTAAAACTGGCAATAAAAGCCCCATATATAAATTTAGAGAGGAAGCAGAGCAACTCAGATAAATAGCATGAATGTCTGGATGCCGACATGGCCATAATGACATGATAAGCACAACTAGAGTCTGATCCCTTGTTTAATTAATATGTTCATCCATCTGACATACAAAGAAAATGGGCAATGAATAGACAGAATAGAAACTAAATTATTTTTATTTATATATGAACAGTGATACTGGAGGTCTAAAAGTGAATATTTTTATTAAACATTGCAAACATTTTCTTTCTACCCACTCTTGAGTCAATAAGATGCATCTCTGTTCCAGATTTCGATGCTCAATAGTACTTCTGTTTTCCAGAGTTTATATGCAGCACTGATTTCTCCATTTAATGCAGTATCCGTAATCATATTCATCATCATCACAAAATGTTTTACATATTCCTTTCACTTTTGCACATCTCTCAAATCTATACTTTGGATCAAAGTTACTTCTGGCTGTAATCAAGAAAGATATGTAAAGTCATCAATCTAATTTTTCACTTGGGAGTCTTCTTACTGAGGGAACAAGAAAAACTGTTCTAGTTATACGATCATGTGTGGGGGGAGATGGAGAGTCTGGTATGTTAAGCAGTTTCATGGAAAAATTAAGCAGTTGTTGCAGAGAGTGACTGAGCTACAATCATTTTACTTGCACATATGTGTATGTCTGTATCTTGCAGTTCACATCAGTACTAAAATTTAGCTGGCTCCTGAGGGCTCTTGCCTTCCTATCTCTTTTTCCTACTTTATGAAGACCAGATTTACTCTCCCATTCTTTCATTAAGATGATATTTGTAGATCTCTTAAAAAAATCTATAATTGGGATCCCTGGGTGGCGCAGCGGTTTGGCGCTTGCCTTTGGCCCAGGGCGCGATCCTGGAGACCCGGGATCGAATCCCACGTCAGGCTCCCGATGCATGGAACCTGCTTCTCCCTCTGCCTATGTCTCTGCCTCTCTCTCTATCTCTCTGTGACTATCATAAATAAATAAAAAAATTTAAAAAATCTATAATTTTTATTTTCATGATTTTTTTCAATTTTTTAAATTTACTCTGATTGCCTCTTCACAGTATTTGTATTTGTTTGTTCAATGCTTTCTTCTCCATTTCAGATCATACGCCTAATTTAAATTTATTTTAGTAGAGCAAATGGATATGTCCCTCTCACCAGTCTACAGCAATAATGAATGAATAAGATAACTTAGTACTTAATTATATGTATTTTTCTTCAACATTTTTAAAAAAAGATTTATTTATTTATGAGAGAGAGAGAGAGAGAGAGAGGCAGAGAGAGAAGCAGGCTCCATGCCAGGAGCCCGACGCGGGACCCGATCCTGGCACCCCAGAATCGTGCCCTGGGCCAAAGGCAGGCTCTAAACCGCTGAGCCACCCAGGGATCCCCTTTCTTTGACATTTTTATGAAACTTTTATTGTTACAGCCAAAATGTAAACCTTATATAATAATAATGCTTTCTTCTCATTCTTTGTTATCTCCTATCTAGTATATCCTGATAATCATAATACAGTAAGCATGAAAATACTTATTAATAGAGTAGTTTGTGGAGGAAACAAAACACAAAATATATGCTCAGAAAACACATTGTGTTATACATTAAGCATTTAGTAAAAAGAGGATCCCCATGTTAGTCTAACAGTTTGCTGTGTGTCACCAAAGACAATGCAAAGAAGGATATCTTCCAAACTCCTAGCTTTGTGTTCATGCGTTAAAATGGAAGCAAATATTTTTGTTAGTTAGGATTTTGTTTCTCTTGATTCAATTGTACTAAAACTAATGCCTTTAGGAAAGAGACTTGGAAGCCAGGGTTACTTCCCTACCCCAAATTTTGTCATAATATTTAGTTATCTTGGATTAGTCATTCCTTCTGTCTGCATGATAGAATATAATAAACATAGCTATCACAAGTATATTTTGAATATTAAATTTTGTATGCGTGTCAGGAAAAATAAAGCAAAATAATTTCATTACCATTTAGAGTATAAATTGAATTGAATTTAGATTAAAACTATATAATGTTAACTCATAAAACCTAATTGCACAGAACCTAAATGAAATTCAGAATGATGTTTCATTTCCATGTGGCAGGTGTTTGGGTACCTAGTATTTTCTAAGCATTTGGCTGAGAACTAGTCAGAAACTTCAAATGTAGAGAATGTAGAGAAGACTTTAAATGGACTTTTTTTCTTTTTTAATTTTATTTATTTATTTATTTATTTATTTATTTATTTATTTATTTATTTATTTATGATAGTCACAGAGAGAGAGAGAGAGAGGCAGAGACACAGGCAGAGGGAGAAGCAGGCTCCATGCACTGGGAGCCCGACGTGGGATTCGATCCCGGATCTCCAGGATCGTGCCCTGGGCCAAAGGCAGGCGCCACACCGCTGCGCCACCCAGGGATCCCTAAATGGACTAACTTTATTGTTGTTATTAATGTTAGTAGAAAAGAAAAGGAAGTTAAGCATTGAATGAAGAGATTATCAGAAGGGTTTGCCATGTGAATATATATATGTCCTTTAGGACTGGGAAGCTTATTCATGATGACAGAGTCCCTGCTTAACCGGAATTTTGGTGAAATTTAAAATTATTTCAGAGCCATATTTGATATAACTAAAAGTAGGGAATAGTGTGATACATGGTTGCATTTTACTTTTTTAAAAATTTTTGCTGGGATAGGTACGTTTTAAACTAATCAGCATTCCTGAGGCTCTAATATCTTGTCAACCCACAAAATCCATGTTGACTTTTAATATATGTTAAATTCAGAAAAGAAAAATATGGATGTATAGTGATCATTTGTAACATGAAAATATACTACCATTGTTTTTCCTTACTATTTTAAAGAGTATAAATGTTTTAAATCATGAAAAAAATCTATAGAACTGCATGATCTGGAAATAAAAAACTTTAATACAAAACTGGTTATATAACTTGTGGTCATTTGCAAATAATATATCATTTTAGAGTCAGCTATGTCATATGAAAATTGTGAAAGAAAATATTATGTTATTATGTTATAAACTGTACAATGTTATATAAATATCATCCGTGAGTGCATATTTATGTGAGGGGGTGAAACTGGTTGATATAAACCACATAAAAATAAAAATGAATGACTAGAGGAAGGATGCATCGTATTTCTTTTATCTGTAAATACTTCTGCACATTTTATACATCGCTGAAGAAATGGTCTGTGATGACTAATTTTCATGAAAAGAGATATATAAACACCAGTTGGAGGATCCACAAGGGGTATATATTTTGAATAGGTTTCTGAGAATCTGGGCAATAGTGAGTGCTACAAATATGGTATAGGTCTACTGTAAACAACAAGCTGTAACAAGTCCTGCATACACATGAATCGGGACAACTCTATTAAGAAATAGGTGTTTAAAAAAAGAAAAAGAAATAGGTGTTTAAAAGCTCAGTGGCCTCCATGCAGTTGGTTAAATGTTAGTTTTTCCAAACTCTGATGGGAGGGGGTCTTCCTCCTAGGAGAAATGTCTGGCATATATATCCCCATCTTCTAGCAAATAACTTCTTTGCAGATGACATCTTTGTTTACCTTGTGTTGCAAATAGAGAGGCTGAGTTGAAAGTAGGAGGAGATATTTTGATTATGTCTACTCTTACTGGGTCCAAGTTGAAATCAAAGTAGGAGCATGGCCATGGGTCAGTTGGAAGTTTCTATATGTTTGAAAGGGTATGATCTTTCAGAATTAGATAGTACTGTGTTTCAATCATGCACACTGTATTTATTAGCTGTGATACATTGGTCAAGTGATTCAGTCCCCTGGATTTTGGTTTCCTCATGAAATCGAGGTTTTGTAAAATTTTAAAAGTTATAATGAGATAAAATATGTAAGCTTCTCTTATAATGTCAAAAAATGAATAAGCTGGGGATCCCTGGGTGGCTCAGTGGTTTAGCGCCTGCCTTAGGGAGTGAGCCTGCTTCTGCTTCTGCCTGTGTCTCTGCCTCTCTGTCTGTGCCTCTCATGAAAAAATAAATAAAATCTTTTAAAAAATTGAATAAGCCTTCAAAATCAGGTTATTCTCATACACTTTGTTTTTATTTTCCACTTGGATTTATACTTAAAACTGACCCCACATGAAGCAGTGTTATTAGCATGTATGCCCTGCCATACTGTGAACACAAACCTCTAGTCTTAAAGCTACGTTAGGTTAGGCTACTGTTTGCCTTGTTCACTGATTTATTTCAGCATGTAGTAAAATGCTTGAAACAGAAATGTGTAAATACCTGACAAAATGATTGAGTGAAAGAATATGGTACCAGAGATCGATATTTAATTGCTGTTATATACAGGAAAACTCTCTGGATTTTATTACAATCTATCAGTTATGTCCTATGTCAACTGAGCCAATGACTTAATGCTTGTACTGATATCTTCAACTATAAATTATGTTGTTGAATAATGTCTACTTCAGAGGGTTGTGTGGCAATCAAATGATATAATGTGCTGTAGCCCACAATTAGTATAATAAGTTTTATTGTCATCAGTATGAGCTGTTTATAGATTTGCATCAGGTTTAAAAGAAAACTTTTATTAAATCATTGTTTTTTCTTCACTTTCACTATTATATTAAGAGAAACCTTCTTTTGTGATTCATACAAGACACATTTAAGTAAGCAATTATTTGTATTCGGCCCTGTGCTGGATGCAGATGCAAAAATGAATAAAATAAGTAAGCTCCTCATTCCCCAAAGTAAGCCAATTTTTGTTTGGAAATGAGGACGTAGAAATTGTATGGTTCACTTGCAAAGACAATCCTGAGGTATGAATAAAATGTTCTCAAAGCATAAATTAAAGAGCCATACCCTGGAAAAGTCTATTTTACCACCACTACCACAACAATTATCAAAAGCTATACTTTATTCGGTATTCATTAGGTTTCAGGCTCTTTACTAAACAAATAGTATTCATTATCTGACTTAATGCTCTAATAATCTTATAAGATAGGTATAACCATTCTCATTTCACCTATAAGAACAACTGAAGTAAAAAACTCTGCACAGGGTTTCAGAAAGAGTAGAAGTGTTGAGTGCTTCAAGGTTACTTATGTTGGACTCCAAACAAGTGTACCCTTCAATCATTTTACTGAGGAGGGGACCTTTAGCTGCACCTTGAAAAACCAATAGCATTATTTCTAGGAATTGAGGGGAAGTACTTTCAAGCCATATATATTAATCATATTAAACATGGATATGGTATCTGAAATAATTTGAGATGTATGGAGAACGGTGTGACTTTTAGCAAGACTGAGGAGATATGGGCGTGTCAGAAAACAGGGATGGCAAATTGGGCACTGGTGACACAAGACTGCCACAGCTGAGGCGCTGAATATTCTCGTAAATAGAATCGTGAAACTATGGAAATGTTAGGCACCATCTTCCCTTTAAGGAAGGAATTAGAGAAAGTTTTGTAGCAAGGAGGCTATATGCATGTTTTTAGAATGTTCTAAGTAAGAAATAATGAGAAAGATAAGTTAATGGAATTTCGAACGAAAAGAAGAAAGTGAGCATGGGAGATACTTGTGACTTAGAAGCAGCCCAATTTGGTAACTTTGGGATTTGAGGATAAGAGTACCAGGAAGAAGAGCAGCGATAAGTGTTTTAGCCTTTGATGCTGTTTACTTGATGTTAACAATTAGTGAGGGGGCGGGGCAAGCAGGCGGAGGAGCAGGGCCTCACCCCACGCGCCCCACCAACTCACTAGGTCACGTCCAAACCATCCTGCACACCTACGGTTCGACCTGAGATTTAAAGAGAGAAGCTGGAACGCTACAGAGGCAAGGGTTTGCGCTTCTAGCAAGGTGGGAAGGAGGAAAAATAAAGATAAAAAAGAATCCAGTGGGGGAGGGCCCCGCGAGGAGCCGGGCTACGGGGGGCGGGAGCCCCGGGACAGGAGAGCCGGCTCGGGAAGCGGGAACTTTAACAATCCGCACCGGACTCTTCCCGGAGGGAAAGGCGCTCAGCGGGGAACCCAGGCAGGACCGCAGGAGGGCGGTGGGGCCCCCAGCCTCCCGGGGTCACTAACAGAGGAGGTGCCCTGGGGGGAGCGCCCCACACCCCGCAGCCGAGCGCGGTAAAGGGCTGGAGCGCCCCGCGGGGCCTCGGGGAGAAGCCGGGCGTCGGGGGCTCTGGGCGGAGGGGGCTGCGCCCTGCATGGCGCCCTGAATGGCCACTTGGCCCAGGTAGAAGTAGATGAAGTGTTTGGTTTCATGTGTCACATAACTACCGAAGTTCCTCCCCACGATGCAGTGCCAGGTGGGGTTGTACTTCTTGTCAAACTCCTTCTTAATATGGGCCGCAATGTCCTTCTCTATGTTATATTTCTCCAACGCCTGAGTCGCACACTCCACCGAGTCCACTGGGGGTCCACTGCCCTGGGAGCGATGCCAGCGGCGCAGGCACCGGACCCAGGGTGCTGGGGACACAGCGGGGATCCTGCACTCCCCCCGATAGGCGGAGGCGGGGAGGACACAGGACGTTGAGGACGCTCCTGCCATGGGAGCCCCCGAGCTGTGCAGGTCAGCGCCCCCCGCCCGTCCCCGGAGCATCCAGGCCCCTGCGGACTGGGAGCTGCGGTGGTTACTGCAGGAACTAACTCTAGGGCTGGAGGGCTGGCCGCCGCCAGTGGGGTTGTTCCTCCTGGTGTCACCCTGTGCCTGGGAGGGGGGGAGCCGCCAGGGGACAGGGGCCTCATGGGTAACCAGCTCCGACTGAGCCCGGTACCCGGTGGGGGGGGCAGCTCCCCCAGGTGCACACACCTGAGAGCCAGCACAGCAGCCCCTCCCCCAGAAGACCAGCTGGAAGGACAGGGAAGAGCAAGTTCTGGACAGAGCAGCGCTGGAAAGCTCCAGGAGAAGTCGAGGGATTTACAGTATATAGAACCAGAGGATACCCCCTTGTTTTTGTTGTTGTTGTTGTTGTTTGTTTTTCTTTTTTTTTCCTTCCTTTTTCCAGTACAACTTGTTTTTAGCCACTTCACACTGAGCAAAATGACTAGAAAGAAGATCTTACCACAAAAGAAAGAATCACAAGGGGTGATTATCACAAGAGAGTACAAACAGTACTCTCTGCCACAGAGTTACAGAATTTGGATTACAGTTCGATGTATAAAAGCCAATTCAGAAGCACAATTATAAAGCTACTGGTGGGTCTGGAATAAAGTATAAAGGATTCAAGAGACTTCATAACTGTAGAATTTAAATCTAATCAGGCCAAAATTAAAAATCAATTCAATGAGATGCAAGCCAAACTGGAGGTCCAAACGACGAGGGTTAATGAAGTAGAAGAAAGAGTGAGTGACATAGAAGACAGGTTGATGGCAAGGAAGGATGCTGAGGAAAAAAGAGAAAACAATTAAAAGACCAGGAGGAAAGGTTAAGGGAAATAAATGACAACCTCAGAAGGAAAAATCTATGTTTAATTGGGGTTCCAGAGGGCGTGGAAAGGGACAGAGGACCAGAAAGCATATTTGAACAAATCATAGCAGAGAACTTCCCTAATTTGGGGAGGGAAAAAGGCATTCAGATCCAGGAGATAGAGAGATCCCCCCCTAAAATCAATAAAAACTGTCCAATAGCTTGACATCTAATAGTGAAACTTGCAAATTCCAAAGAGAAAGAGAAAATCCTTAAAGCAGCTAGAGACAAGAGATCCCTAACTTATAAGGGGAGAAATATTAGATTAACAGCAGACCTCTCCTCAGAGACCTGGCAGGCCAGAAAGGGCTGGCAGGATATATTCAGGGTCCTAAATGAGAAGAACATGCAGCCAAGAATAGTTTATCCAGCAAGGCTCTCATTCAGAATAGAAGGAGAGATAAAGAGCTTCCAAGATAGAAACTGAAAGAATGTGTGACCACCAAACCAGCTCTGCAAGAAATATTAAGGGGGACTCTGTAAAAGAAAGAGGAAGTCCAAAGAAATAATCCACAAAAACATGGACTAAATAGGTATTATGATGACACTAAATTCATATCTTTGAATAGTAACTCTGAACGTGACTGGGCTTAATGATTCCATCAAAAGATGCAGGGTTTCAGACTGGATAAAAAAAGCAAGACCCATCTATTTGCTATCTATAAGAGACTCATTTGAGACTTAAGGACACCTCCAGCCTGAAAATAAAAGGGAGAACCGTTTACCATTCA